TTAGGTCTTTTTTATTTCAATGACCTCTCGCCTTTCATTCTAAAGTCAAATTAAACGAAGAAAACAATCACCCTTTCCTCTAGAAGAGGTTTTTTGACAGCGTTACCATTTTAAAAAAGCGTTCTTCTGAAATTTATCCTAAAACTTGCTAGTTTCACTTTGATTTTTTAAACTCAAGTAGGGTAACTCTGTTCGCAAAGGGTGCGCATTTGCGAAGAGGGCGCCACCGAATTTTGTGGACACTTTTTTAATTGGCTCAAAGAGAGGATTGGCTCCTCTTGTTATGTAAACTCTTTGCCCTTCATCAATAGAATTCACAAATATATATATATCATTTTCTTCAAGTTCTCTTTCATTTTATTTAATTAACAAAGCATAAAAGCTTTAGAATACCGGTATTTAATTTTTCAAAATGTCGACTTCCTCTACTCATCAGTGTCATGTCCGTCGAGTTCATCAGCTTTTACAGTGCATGCACCACTTCTAGAATGTACATTGTTATAGCGAGATCCTCCACGTTGTTCAACTCTTCCAGTATTGAAAGACGTGCTCTCAAGCAGTAGACTTTGTATATTGGCGCTCATATGACCTTGTGCAGTTGCGAGTGCCGTAAAATCCTCTACTATAAAAAATTTTAAAAGACTGTATTGTACATTGTTCATTGACCATGTGTCTTTTATATTTGACTCGATATGCTGTGATAAAGAGATATGACTATTACATTTGTAAATAAAAAATAATTTGATAATGTTTCTTAAATTTGAAGTCTTTGTTTTGTATCATCGTACATTCTCAGCTGTTTTCCACAGGAGAATTTCTTGGGTTCCTGATTTCTAAGTTTCTTTCTATACTTACAAAGGCATGCGTTTCAAAATTCATTTGAACTGCTGCTCTGAAGCTGACAGATTGGCTGGTGAGGCCACCTTAGTTGACAATACGGTTCAACCAGATAGGGTCGAGATCCTGAAATGTCTTTCTCGCCAGCTGATTGAGGAGGAGGATAGGGAGGCAGAGGCCAGTACTGCCGTGGAGAGGATGATGCTTTTGGGAATACAAAAAGGAAGCGGAAAATCTGGCATCCTTGCAGGAAAGA